CTGCATGCTGAATGTCGTGTTGGTTTGTGCTACTGTTTTGCTTTTGCTTTCATTTCTTTGCCGCGTGCTTTGCTTCGCCTCCTGAGCTGCGCGAAATGAATCAGAATTGGTTAGAGTTGGGTAGGGAAGTTGGTCTGACTGGTGAAGATTTGATTGAGTTTGTGCGTGAGCGTGAGAGGACTGCAAGGGATGAAAGAGCGCAGGAGTTAGAACTCAGGCGACATGAAAGGGAAATTTTATAACTGAATTTGATAAAGCGTTATTTGCTCAATAGCTTCCTATACTTAATTAACAAATCAATAACAAACTTTAACTATGATTTTTTTGTCATCAAAGACTGCTTAATGACATGTAATTCAGTCATTTACATTTATGGAAAATGTTTGGTATGCCTTATGGATTTAAATAAGTTATGCCTCAAAAACCAGGTGGTAGACGTAATACATGTAGACGTAATAAACCATTGCACATAAGTATACAGTCTAAGCATTGTTTTTGCATTATTACCGTTATTATGGAATCTGTTTGGCAATGAGCCTACAATCGTTTACAGTTATTTATAATTATTCATTCCAAGTGATTGACAATCTGCATTGATTCGGAGGGGCCATTCCTGAGATCCTTAAGGGGATGCATTGCGCCATTGGTTGTCAGAGGCCCCCAAAATGGATGCTTTTGGGATAACACTTTCAAGTTGGACAAACATAGTGCTTAAACGTGTGTTAACGACCATTATGTCCATTTGGTCGATTACGTCCGACAACAGATTTTGACGAGCAACGGCCGATTATGTCCGACCCATTATGTCCGACAGCCGATTATGTCCGACCCATTGTGTCCGACAGCCGATTATGTCCGACCCATTATGTCCGACAGCGATTATGTCCGACCCATTATGTCCGACGGCCGATTATGTCCGACGGCCGATTGTGTCCGACCCATTATGTCCGACGGCGATTATGTCCGACCCATTGTGTCCGACGGCCGATCGAGGATTTTGTTTAATTTGCATGTAGGTCTACATTGCTGATTATGTGGAAGACAAATCTTATCTTTACCCCGTATTGTGACGGTGCGGCCGCAATTTAATGGAAGCACTTTCTCATAAAGGTGAGATTGGACTTGAACAGAATTGGATACCAGGAATCCGATTTTCTCTGACCCAATTTTGTCCGGTAAACTCTTAAAGTTTGTTGTCATAATATTTTGGCGTCCTATGAAATCTGATTAATTTGATCCGCTATTTTGGGCTCTAATTACTCTCACCAGTGACTTCTTAATGTCATTATGTTTTGCACTCTATGATGGAATCTCTTCATAGAGTACAATTGCCACACTGAGTGCAATTGCAACACTTACCGGAATCAGGACGGACGCAATGTTAATGTTATAAAGGGCGATGGGTAAAAGTGAAAAAAATTCCAGTGAAGTACCGCTCGAATAAGGGCGCCCTCTCCCCAGGGCGTGCCGAGAACTGCATTGACCAGAGGCGAGCTTTTTCTAAACCACAAAGTCGGTCCTACATGGTTGATTGCCGCGTATGGCGCAATACATGTACATGCAGTAATATAATGTATAAAACAACTCAGTGGAAGGAGTCACTGATGTAGTCTAGTGGATACTACGTGAACTGTCATTGCTTTTCTTTTCATTCATTATTTGTTTAATTTCGTTCCCTTAAATAGGGTTTTGTTAAAGCAATTTAGGGCATTTTTCTTTTGTAGTTTGGAAATATGGTTCTGGGAATTTTGTTTCTCACAGGAAAACAAGTATCGATGAATGTAATATCGCTTAAATTGTACATAACAATGGTAAAGGTCTGCCGATTTTTCGTTTAAACGGACGGGCACAATTTTCAAAGTGAGAGACCTAAAATAAGAGATAATCTTGGAAGATAAGAAGGATATAATACAAAAAAGGTCACGTATTGTAAGGTTGTGCGTCTACATTTTTTTTAATGGATGTGAGCTTATATCGGGAGTGTGGTTTCGTTACGGATTATACAGAGGTGAAGGGAAAACTGTAGTGGCGAAAATGTGTAGCGATGATCTTTGGGCTATTTTTGCCCTTCTGGTAGCTACTTCGGAGCAACCTTATGACCCCCCAAAAACGTGGACAGCCCCACTAAAATATTAAAGCCACTGACTACTTTGGGTATTCTGAATATTGATAACAGTAGTAAATTGTATTTTGAATATTGATAAAAGAAATAATTCAACGCAATCGACACAATTTTAATTAAATCGGCTTTTTAATCCTTGCCAATAAGATTAAGAGTAAATATACAAATCATCTACTATTTCTTGTAACCGTCTAAACAAGAACGTCTGGGCACTGTAGGGCAAATCTGGTGTAATCATTACTTTTCAATAATGAAAATAATATCATTAAGTGAAAGGAGATGGTTCACACATACAACCACAGTTATGATTTGCACTTAAGGAAGAAGTATCTAAAGAAATAAGTTAGGCCGTTGTTGTGGTTTTAATTGTCAATTTCAGTGGTGTTTCTTTGATTTTTCTCTGCCAACGTTAACGGTACATTTGCATCGGCTTTTCTGTTAAACCGTATACATTTTGTTAATCGCTTGATTTATATAGTTTTGAGTAAATATCAAACCGGTATATGATACAGCGATGATAATGTCGACGTTGATGATAATGATATTAATAGTGATAACAAGGGCGATAACCACCTACAATAAGTATTAAAAGGCTTATTAAACAATTTCAACTAAATTATAAGTTGTTAACTACATAACAAGAACCAACATAATAATCATGTAAATAACAAGAGTTTAAAGTATTAAAATAAAACTCATCAACGTGAAAACACTTTAAATTAAAATGGGAACATATTAACAGTGATGGAATTGTTCAATTGATGATTTAAAGCAGGGAATATCGCACACAGTCAGCATATGTCTTGAGAAAGATATTTGGCTATATGGCCATTGCAGATTTGTCCTTTGAAAAAACTATAGGTATAATAGCAAACAATGGCAGCCATTTTGAAAATTTAGAAATTACTATTCTACCTATAGTTTTTCAAATGCCTAATTCCATGCTTTTATGAACAATTTAATCACATTGTGCACCAATCTGCCAGACTTGCAACGTTCTTCCAAAGCAACATGGGAAACAATTCAGTTATCCCATCACTCCACTTGGACCAAAATTATGCAATTTGAACCATCCAAATCCAAGTGTACAAAAGAACACCATATTGATACAAAGAAAAGAAAAGGGCAAACATATACTCGAATCATACGCAATTCTACTGACCAGAACAACTAACAATTTCAAATGTCCCGAGCTGCGAATTTGTCGACCATCTCCCACAATGTTGAGAAAAATGAATTCTCCGTGGCAAACTATTGGTGGCACACTGCATTGTGAATCGCCCGAATTAGCACCGAGGTGACATTTTCAGAATTTTTCATGGCTATTTTACGCGCGCACTCCAGTTACAATCCAAAGATAATTAATAATGTCAGTACACAACCGAATGAATCCGGCGTAATCGACCATCTAAATACAATAGGTCGGACGTATCCCATCGTCGGACACAATGGGTCGGACTTAATCGGCCGTCGGACACAATGGGTCGGGCATTATCGGCCGTCGAACAATGGATCGGACATAATCGGTCGGACATAATCGCCGCCGGACATAATGGGTCGGACATAATCGGCCGTCGGACACAATGGGTCGGACATAATCGGCCGTCGGACACAATGGGTCGGACATAATCGCCGTCGGACACAATGGGTCGGACATAATCGAATGTCGGACACTATGGGTCGGACATAATCGGCCGTATGACACAATGGGTCGGACATAATCGGCCGTCGGACATAATGGGTCGGACATAATCGGCCATTGCTCGTCAAAATCTGTTGTCGGACGTTATCGACCAAACGGACATAATGGTCGTGAACAAACGTGCCACCTGAGAGCTTGCATTTTTATGTTGCCACCAGAAAACTTGAACGGACTTCATTTTCTAGGCGAGATAGGATTTCTGTTCAAAATCTAATAACAAGAATGACGACTCCTTTGAACACAAAGGTTTCAGCAAAAGAGTCGAGAAGATGGAGAAATCCGTCTTCCATTTTAGAAAAAAATAAAGGGCCTCAGGCTTTTTCCTCTTTTTCAAAAAGCCCGGACGAAAAACTAATTTTGTTTACTTGAACCGAAGAGTTTTCATCCCTGAAAAAAAGTGGTAAAAGCGGGGTTGGGAGCTGGGGCTAAGACAAGGGTTTGGGGAGGGGGGGGGGTGGACTAGTACCAATGCAGGAACTTTTTGTTATTCAAAAAGCTACATGTCGATATAAGCCACTCATCCAAATTCAGTGGAGTGAATTATAAATGCACATACATGTATAATGTAAGCACCAGCACTGACCTAATTTGGCTTCATGAATTTTAGGCCAAAAAAAAAATTCGGTCTCTGGTCAGACCAAAGTTCTGGAATTGACGCGGGGACGCGTTTTTTTTTGGTTTTTTTTTTTCTTCAAGCTTGGATTGTACAGACAAGGTGGGGTACTATTTTGCTTTTTTTGGTGTCCTCATGTACACTGGTGTCCTCCATAATTTGCCTTGGTGCTCTCGATCATTTGCCTTGGTGCAATTTCCCATTCCTTGGTGCTCTTTGGTAAAAAAAAAAATTGAGGAGGTGCGGCAATAGAGGGCGCTGTTGGAGCTACCGCGGAACATTTTGGAAAGAAAAAGGTTAAGCGCATGATTAAAATCGACGCGCGCGCTGACCAGAGACCGACTTATTTCTTTTTTGGGCCTTACATGTTTTTTTAACATAAACTTTTATGGGAGTTGACTTAATAAAAACACGAATTAATTTGCAACGAACCAATGAATAAAGCGGCATAAAAGTTGACGTCATAATCGCCACAGGTACTACAGAGTTTAATCATTTGCATCAATTTCATATACAAGTACTAAACATCTGTCCTCAGCTATAATATGCATATTACACTGAAACACTCAGCAGCAGACAGACGGGTCGACCTGAAAAGGAACATCGAAATATCTGCAAAACCCGACATTACAAGGTAAGCTGCACATATTGACTTTCCCAGGTTCATATTTTACACGAACGGAACTTTGATTTCCATATAAGATTAATCAAAGTTAAATCTATGTCAGCATTTCGTATTTAGACTATCGTGGTTTCAAAAATCATCTGTTTTCGTCATGGGCGGATCCAGATCACCGTTGAATTTCAGCGTGAAGTTTGGGGCCCGCTTCAGGGCCCTGGAAAATTGTTGGATTCTAAAATGCTCCGTGGTGCGATCAAAGGCAATTTCTGACCACTGTAACCTTTTTTCCAGCAAAAGATGGTGGTGTACGCAATGGCTAGCTATGTTTGCGACGTCACTTTAAAAAAAAAAAATTGGGTTCGGTTTTTTTTTGGGGGGGGGGGGGACTCGTTGGCTCCCGTTGGCTCCCCTCAGATCCGCCGTTGGTTTTCGTGAATCACATACCATTTTGTCGAGAAATATCCAGATTTATTAAAGCGATCATAATAAGATGTTTACAGCGATTATAAATGATACTATGGATCTTTCATGATTAACAAGTGATTTTTTATTGCGAAATAATGGAAACTTTTGCAAACACAAGAAAAGATTGTCTTTTTATTGTTCATGTATAATATCCTTCAAATGCCGGACCCAATTACGTATCACTCCCATAGGGCGTGGGGTATTGATATGTTTAGAGAAGGTAAAGCGGCAACCAGACTGCACCTTCCAAAACCATACGCAATCGGCCCTGGCAACAAGGCACTGCCTTTTGATATAATGTCAGGTTTAACTGAGTTCAAAGAGAAAAAAATAAAGAAAAGTACTTTTAGTCCGTAAAAAGCAACTCCTGAAAAAGCCACAGCCAGTAGAATTCGTTTTGGGGAAGAAATTCCATGTAGTGAGCTTGCCCGTGTAGACAGGTTGCTAAGGTATCAACATTTTTTTCATCATTATTTTCATGGACACTTTTGTTCCGTCGAAGCTTTCTAGAAAATCGAGGTTTTCTAAGGGAAATGCAAAACTGGACATAACAATCCACGTTGCAATCTTTAAAACTTAATAGAGTTAGGCTATTTTCGGCTTTTTTTAGATTTCGACTATAATCAGTGATTTAATAAGCCGTCCCGACAGCATTTCTTGAGTGTTTTGGACTCGGAATCTGTGGCTCCAGACCTCAAGCAAACTAACTATTAACGTAGTTCGTTGTTTAATACCCTATACTCAATATTTCGAGAGCAGTTTTTGTCCAGAAAAATGGGGCAAAAACGTATGGAGGGAGTTTGATTTGGTGAACCAAATGTTTGAAAAAACGCAGAGCAAAAATTCAGACATTTTGGCGTCATTTTAAGTGGGTTGTTTTGGCTGACATTTACACAGAATTTGTTAACTGATTCCGACGAAAAATGTTTTGGGGGGTCATTATTCAAATGCAGTCGTTCAATAGTAAAAAAAATTTAAAGCTAAAATCTGTTTACAAATCTGGTCACTTGCCTTTACCGTTATGTACAAATGTGAATGCTGGGGAAACTTCTGAAATTATGTTTTTGTCAAAAACAAAATGGTATTTTTATACATTCTCAGAAAATTTTTTTTTTAAATTTCTTTGATAAATTTACAGTGATTGAATCAAATATTAATGTAAAAAATATCTTCCAAATTCAAGTGGTCTATAAATGATGCAATACAAAAGATATTCTACCAATAGTCAGGTGGCTTAGATCTAATTTTCGTCAAGATCGTGACCGACTGGTCCAAAGCACCAAACTTGGCAGATAGATTCTTATAGACCTAGAGAAGATATTTAGAAGGGGTGACACCCGAAATTCTTTTGGGAAGGGTGCCTAATTTGCATAAATCGTTAATGCCTGCCGTGTAATATATTTATTCCCATATTTGGGTATATTTTAATTTTTTTTTTTTGAAAAGTGTATTTTGGGGATTCTACTTACATATCTTTACTTAAATAACATTTTCCAAAACATATAAGTGACTGAATAATTATGAGGAAATAGTAACGATCCAAAATGACTACTAAATTGCGCGCATTTACCTTGTCCCCAGATATCATCAATTAGTCTTGCCAAACATCAGCATTGATGAACTTCAAATTCACCAAGTAGCTTACTGGTACAGTTACCCTATTGAAACCTTATGCAAAATCATGTGAACAATGAGAACATTGTGATATTTAGCCCAGAAAACAAAAAGTGGGGAAAAACGAGGTGTCCATAAATTGGGCTAACACGTAAGGTGAAGGGTTGCCTAACATGGAACTCTGGAACAAGTTCAAGGAAATTCCCAAAATTATTGTTGAGAAAACGTTTTGGCGTATACAACATTACTGTAAACAACAATAATCTCTTATTTGGGGGGATTTTGTTGAACTTGTTCAAGTCCCCACGTTACCCTTCCCGTAGTAGCCCAATTTACGGACACCACATTTTCTCCCCTTTAAGTTGGTCTTTTGGGCCAAACATCAAGATGATATCAATTTTCACATGATTTCCCACTTATTTTTGTCAGGTTAACTATGTCAGTAAGTACCTTTGTGAATTTGAAGCTCATCAATACCCACGTTTGGCGAGACTAGTTGATGATATCTGAGGAAAAGGTAAATGCTCGTAACTTTAGGGTAAAATAGTAGCCATTTTGGATCGTTACTATGTCCTCATAATTATTCAGTCACTTACATGCTTTACAAAATGTTATTGAAGTAAGAATATGCAAGTAGAATCACCAAAATACACTTTTCAAAAAAATAAAAAAATAAAAATATACCCAAATATGGGAAAACATATATTACACTGCAGGGATTAACGATTTATGCAAATTAGGCACCCTTTCCAAAAGAATTTCAGGTGTCACCCCTTCTAAATATCTTCTCTAGTTCTATAAGAATCTATCTGCCAAGTTTGGTGCTTTGGACCAGTCGGTCACGATTCCAACCATATGCCACCTGACTACAATTGCTAAGCCGTGCAAAATCGACGGCTCTCATTACGTATGCAAATAACCCTTTAGGATCGCGCGTGCGCAATTGAAAAGGGCAGCTGAAACGTCGACCATCATTGCCTTTCATTATGGCAAAAAATTATGGCAAAACTTGACATTTGCAAAACATGACAATAATTGTTGCAATAGTTTTGTGCAATATCGCAACAGTTACTTCACGCGAAAGCGTAGGCGAAGCGAATTTCATCACGCCAACAATTGAAATTTTTGGACCCTCCCCTCCCCCAAAAAACCCCAATGCTATTGCGAAAAAAAGTCAGTGGGATAGGAATGCACGTTTCGGTAATACAGAACATCAAATTCTCATCGCATATGTGACCTGCCAAAGCATAATGAGGAATAACCCCCACTTTGACTTTTTACGTTATGTACATCATGTAAAAGCGCAAATCATTGGCCTTCCAATGATACCAATTTTATTTCTGTAGCTTAATTTTTTCCAAAGATTATGACGCAGGGAACATTAACAGTGTCCTGCCAAGTTTCTCTAACCTCATTTCGAGAAAAACGGCTTTGAAAAAAAAGACACGCATTGCGCCACCGACGACAGTGAAAAATGTTCTTTATATTTTCCTTTTTTGTGGGTATTTTTTCCCAACAAAAATGCATAGTGTGATTCTTGGATACCTTGGCTACTCAAAAATACAAAACAATCAAAAACGATTTTCACATGATTTTTAGAGTAGGCCTATATCCGAGTTCAGGCGTCGATTACTCAAAACAAGGTTTTGGGGGACATTCCTCATTCTGCCTCAGTAGGTCACATGTCATGCTGTCGCCTTCGATTAGGATTTGTGGTGTCGGCCTGAAGCCATGAATCGAGGATTCTAATACTATATTCCGGGTTCTCAAACCTGACTATCACCTTTAACGGAAACATGCAGTGGAAATTCAGCTCATCCTGTTTTCATGCACATTACTATGTGTTGCAACTATACATACAAGATCTTAATACTTGTTTTCATTGGAAATGACAATAAAGTGGTAGTTGTTCAATTATTAGCAAAGCCTTTCATCAATATATGCAAGAGGGTGCTATTTTGCTTTTGTCACACAAGGTACTCATTGTCAAAAGTGCATTTGGACAGTACAAAAATTAGCCCTTCAAAATTACCCACAAAAAAAGTTTTGGAGAAATATTGGCCACTGCTATTGTCCAAACAAGCTGCTAAACATGATAGTAAAAAGTGGAACTTACTCAAAGAAAATGAAGAAAAGTTTGATACATATTTTTACACAAAGCTGTGAAAACACTTTTCTGCCTGAATGACATCACGCTTTGCAGGCTCATGACTATGGAAATTTTCATGAGCATACAAACTAAAATGTAAAAATTTCTCCCTTTTACTGCTACAAAGGAGGTGGAAAGTTATAGTTACATGGCAAGAAAGCTGTTTAAATGTATTTCAGTCATAACAATCCTATTGTATGTTTCTTTTAATCTCTCCTTGTCTTTAATACGTAATGCCCCGATAGAAACGTTTCTTTAGGCTATAAACGAAGAGTATAAAAGTCGCGGACTTGTGTTCATTTTTTTTTTGACTTTGTTAGTATTGTTTCCGTTCAGTTCAATAAACAAACTTTCAAAAACTCATTTTTTTTTTTTAGGCTTTCATATTTTTCGCAAAGGTTTTACGTTATTTCCAAATAAAAATAATTATTTTAATTTTTACACTACGCACGGCCAGACTCCCGCAATTATGATACCAAAAAGATCCCATATTTGCTATCTATCCGGCTGTTCACAATATGCCTGAGGACAAAGGCGGAATAATTTTACCCTTTAAATTTAAATGCATACAACAAAATGCAAATGACAGATTTGGCCAGATGACCGCATAATGAGGTCACGTTATGATGATAATGGTATCACCCTCATTTATGCAACCACCTTGCTTACTCTGTAATTTATGCAAAAAGTATTCATGGTGGCAGGCGACGTGTGTGCAATTCTTGAAATAAGTGCGGGGAATCGATTATTAATGTTACACCCGCTGCGTCCCAGAGGGCGCCCTTCCTTAATTACGACCACTGTTCATTGCTATGCATGCACAGCACAATGCATTAAATCATGACGAGTTGGAAGCAAGACCTCCTGGGTATATATTTCGTTTTTTCCCATCTTTTAGGTTGGTTAACAATTAGTAAGGACAATCATTAATGAATGTGGGATACCTAGAAGTCACTGTGTGTATGCATGGAGAAATAAACACATTAATCTCCATGGTATATGTAGTGTGTCTGTGGAGCCTAAGGCCAAACAAAAAAGTCTCCGGTTTCTGGTATGCGCGCGCGTCGCCGTAGCCATGCGCGTCGGCAAAATAAAAAAAAGTTTTTTTTTTCAATGAAAGATGATGTCTCAAAACCGCCAAACTCACTGGTTTGACTGGAATCCTGCTGCTGCACAATTTTAACGTGTTTTTAAGTGGGGTTATGATCGAGAATAAGCTTTATGTGGCCTCTCTGGTCTCCCATAATATTTGCACTAAGTTTAGTCGGGCACCATTTGCAGTCATCAGCCGACATTTGAAGCAAAAAAAAAACAGGTAAAAAAAAAAAAGCCGCGTCGCCGCACCACTTTTTGGGCAAGCTCCATACCAGAAACCGGGGACTTTTTTTTGGCCTAATGTGTGCTGCTAGTTTTATGCTACGCACGTGAGAGAAACGTAATGTGTGTGTCTCGAAGTTGACCTGTGACCTTGTTTCCATAACGACCGGGCCTTCGCCGTCTGTCGTACGGTGCAAGGGCAATACATGTATTTACACTTACAGTTGACACTGTCATTCAAAAGGGAGATAATTGTGCAAAGCATTAATGCCGAGTTTGAATATTATATCCTCTCCTATCCTATACATGTGTAAATGTTATTATTTCAATACAGGGTTTATATAGAAAGTGACCACTGCACTGTACATGTTATAAGACTCGAGGCAGAAGCCGAGAAGTTGTTTCTTACCTGGCGTTGGGTAAGTGAATGAACAAACTCTATTTTATTTTTGGTAATGTAATTGTATTAGAACTTTAACATGTACATGTACACGGATGTAATTACATCTCCAACTCTTGCCTTTATTTTTGTACTTTTATTAGTTTTTTGTGTGTGTTTGTATCTTGGTTGTATGGAGACTTGATCTATGACCACAATTAAACCACGTACAGTGGAAAACCCAAGAGAGTGTCAATTACTGGTTCGTACTCGAAGAAAGCAATTCTTCACCCGTGCATGGTGATGAGTTACCGTAGTCAACCCCCTCCCCAGGGCTCGCACATCGCAGTTCCTGACAAAAGTAATAGTAATGAGGAGATGCAGGAGTAGGAATACATGTGTCGAACAGTGTAGGGGGGTGAATGAGGTGAAGTCGGTCGCAGATTTCCATTTCAGGTGAATTGAACAGTATATGCGGAGGCAGCGCACGCTGGTGCTTTTGTGAGTCATTTTGAGAAGCACATTGTTCAAAGAGAGATGGCATCAACCTCTGCCCCTCTAGTTGTTTTTGTTTTTAATATCTCAAGCTGCTATACTTCGGTCCATCCTGCTGGGACACTTAGAGGAGCCTCGTCTTGGGTTTTGACAATAAACAGCTCATTGCTGCCTTCCGTCAAATTCTGAGTGTGGGGGTTGGGAAAGAAGGGAACCAAGGCACAGGCGGCGTTAGTTACACCACTGCGCTTGTCAAAAAAATGACTTCTGGTGTTCGCGAAAACATAAATGTGCAAAAGATGGTCCCGTTAATTCGGGGCCTACGCACTCCCTCTTGAAATCTTGCACAGTGCGGTCATGCCAGTTACGGTATTTGACGGCATACTTATACATTACAGGTATAACTTCGTAATCAGCAAAACCTGCGAATTTTTTGAAAGATGTACTATTTTGTGCCATACCTAAACAATCTTTAGATAGCGACGTAACTGAGAGGAGAGTGCAAGGAATGGGACACCTCTCAAATTACAGAGGAAGGGCAAAAATCAGCTTTCTATTGTTAGAAACAACCATCAAGTGCCCTTTTTGAAGGATGCCCCTATACTACCTCTAGCCCAGTTAGGCCAGCAGGCTAACATGTTTAGGCCTATTTCATGTTAATTCGCTCTTGCCACATCTCATTCTATCGCTCACTCCCAACGCCCTATATGTACAAGAGCCTTCCAACTTTGCTATAGGTGCTCACGTACCCGCCCACGATTTTTTCCCCAAACGACATCCGCATGGGATGTACGCTATGGCGTTTTGGACTTAACTTCTCAAAAAAACATGAGAAGAAAATATAAAATTAGAAAAATAGAAATGAAATTCGGACTTTATTTCCCTTTAAAAACAAAATCATCCAAAGCCTCAAAATGGAAAAGAACAAATAAATCGGGTACAAAACGCTGACTCGAACCCACACCGCGAGGATTCCTCACGGTACAAAATCACGATCTACCAACTGAGCAATCGCATTACTCGACACATGGAAAAAATATATACATATACCTGCGTACGCATCATAAAAGTATTGTAGAGGGCGTTCAACAACGAGGTATAGTGGATGTAGTTTGGGAAAAGAAAATTCGCCACCCGGCCCGGGCTCTACTGGTTAGACCAAATTTCCCAATGAGAGCACAGCGCCCGGCCGTGGATGGGACGGTTGAAGGGTACGAGCGAATCATTGTCCAAAATGTAAAGTTGCCTCCAAATTTGGCTTACCGCTTTTTTCCGCTAGGTAAGGGCCGTTGTCAGCTGCCACGTTAGCATGATGGAGTCTCCCTACTTTACCGCACTGTCGTACCTGGGACCGGTATGTAAGGGCATCAGCATAACGGAGAACCTGCTAGTGCTGGTGGTTCTGGCCGGAACCAAACCTCTCCGCGCTAGGTTCTACGGGTTTGTCTTCAACCTAGCCCTTGCCGACCTCGTCTTTTCGGTATTCTCAGTGGCTTTCCACTACTCGCCAAACCGCCTGACCATCCTGCTGGAGTTGAGTCGTACTGGCTACGTGGTGTCCATCTTGACCATTTTGGCCGTAGCAGTCAACCGCTACCTGGCTTTGTCGCTGGTGCCCGCGGGTCGCTACGACGCGCTGTTGACGCCAGCACGCCTGATCGGGGTTTGCCTGAGTCTGTGGTGCGGGACCCTTCTCGTTTACGTTCTTCCAGTCTTCGTGACATCAGACGAAACTCGCTCTGTTATCAAAAGTTTGGCTCGACCGCTCGGTATGATTATAATATGGGGGATCACCGCGGTTTTGTATTGCCTCGCGTTCCGTAAGATTAAGCGCTATGCGCCACCTCTGTCCCAAAGCCAAGGTATCAGTCCGAAGTCTGAACAAGCGGAAACTCGGGTAAAGCAGACCCGCCGTTTGCTCGTCGCGTTTGCCTTCGTTCTCGCAACGTCCTTCGTTTGCTGGATTCCGTTCAGCATCGGCCGGTTGGTGCGCCATTTCCATCCGCAGCTTTACTCCCAAAACGCGTCTTTTCACGCGTTCTATCGCACTTCCACGTTCCTGTATTCCATCAACCCAATGATCAACCCTATGGTGTACTGGTGGAGGCTGGGAGAGTTTCGTGAAGGGTTCTACGCTTTGTTCTGTCGCTGCTGTGTGAAAACAGAGCATACTGAAGCGGAGGACACTTTGGAAATGGAACAGACTGTTGCAGAAAGCGCGGATCCCACACAAAAGGATGAATGACTGAACGGACTTGCCTTAATTGGTTGGACGCGTGATAACGGCCTTAATACCCGTTGGCATGTTAATCGCGAATTTTCCAGGTGTGCCATTTTGTCGGGTTTTTTTTTTGCATGACATTTAAAACGGAAATATTCATAAAACTGTAAGCAAAACTACTCCTTATGTAAGATATACCTGTTCCAAAGTTGTTTAAAATAAATGCTTCAGGATATAACAGATGGTATTGTGCAGTTTTGTCGTCATAGATGAAGTATTTACCCGGGAAATAAACGTCAAATGTGACACCTTTTTCGAGGAGAACACCGTTTACCCAAATCTCGTTTTTAATTAGACTTTCATTAAAAAGTTTCAATGAATGTGGTCCCAAACCGATAAAACAAATGCGATATTTCATAGTTCATTTTGAAGCTAAAGATATTGTGCTCGGCGTTAACATGTTATGTAGTCATCACTTATCAGAATTCCATAATAAAGGCCAAAAACGTAGGATCAAGAATATTCAAAAACATAATTAGCTGGCTTGAGAGACTCCGACAACAGATCGGGCACAGAGCCCTGCAAATTTGATAGCCACCGCGTAAGTGCAGTGAAGCGGTTTAAGCTTTCTGGGTCATTGTTGACAAGTATTCATGATATTTGCAACCAATAAGGGCCGTTATCACGCATCAAACCAGGAGTTTGGCTGAGTCGTTTATCCTGGCCCTGTGTGTAGGATCCGTGCAGAAAACACCTTAAACAAGAGGTCAACAGGCCGATCAGTAATATCCTTCTGTGCAACGCCACTTGAGTAATTGCGGGGAGAAGGGACTGGTAAAAATTAAGACATTAATATGAAATTCATTTCAGAAAAATTTAGCTGTGTAAGCTGGGTTTTTTTTTTCAAAATGAAAAGTTTAGAAGTTTTTGTAGAGGTTTAAAAATTCGTTTCATTTCGATGACTTTTAAAATGATGTGGAGAGTCTACCATTTAAATTTTATGATCTAGAATGCCTGGTAATGAAATACTGTATGCAAATTGTCACGTAAAACAACTAGGCATCCATATTAATGATTTATTGATTAAACAAAACCCTGCATTATTCATCCGGATCTGGAATTGTATGTTAATTCAACTCTGTTAACTAGTTCTACAACTGCGGATTAATCCTGAAGGTTAAACAGCCATTTCGAATGCACCATCAATTTTACTCGCATAAAATGCAACCACAGTTTGAGAACTGCATGGTTGGTTGGCGTTTTGTTTTGTGTTCTGAGCGGCTGTGTCGTCCCTACGCATGGCGCCACTTGTCAATCAATCAATCAATTACTTTATTTTCCACATAACGTTGTGCATCAGGACAAATATCACTTAATGTTTGAACATTAATTAAGATAAAGGTGGATTGGGGTCCCCAAAAAGCAAAGCTTGTCGAGTAGGGGCCCCACTAACATTAATTCAAGTATTATAGTTTGAAATGATTAAAATGATTCGTAGCATAAATCACGAACACATAAACGAAACCTGTAACCTGTAACCTCGTGAGACTAGATAAGTTTCAAGTTAACACGTCTTATATTTACGTTGAAATAGAGAAACCTCCACGTACTTTGTAACCCTAAAAGGGCTGGGTTATTTTGACCATCTCTCAGCCGGGGGGGGGGGGGGCGGATTCCGTAGAACAACTTATCATGAACATCCTCCGTGACTTGCATTGGCTACCGGTAAGGCAACGCATCCACCACAAGGTTGCACTTCTGACATTCAAGGCGCTCAACGACATTAACCCAGCAGCGCCCTGCGTTCTTCAACTCAACACCTCCTCAGCCATCCGAGTCCAAGTCGAACAATTTTCTACGGTGATACGTCTTTTGCTAAATCATCAGTGTCAGTCTGGAACAAGTTACCAGCCAACATTCGCTCCATCACGTCTCTTCATCTTTTTAAGAAGGCTTTAAAAACCCATCTATTTGTAACTGGTTAAACCTTCTTTACGTGATGTCAGCAACTTCGTGATTTTGTTAGTTTAGTAATTTGCCAATTTTTTACTACTTTCATCTCTTTGTCTTGTTTCGATTTTGTGATTCACGATGTCGATATTTGTTTTAGTTGTTTGTATACTTTTGATTGATTGTGGATGTTTGTGCGTTGTGACTTTAATGTAAATTGACTTGTTATATTTTTATGTCAGTTCATGTATGTTTCTGGTTTTGAGGTAATTGTGATTCTGTTGTAGTTTTTTCGTTGCTTGTCGAATCTTTTGTGTGCTTTGTATTTTGTAACGATCATTTGGGTTATTGACCACTTTAAGTCAGTTTTGTACTTCATATTTTTTTTTTACAATTTTAGCATTGGTTCTAGTTTTGATAAAATTATGTGTTAATTTTATCAATTATTCGGTTGATCCAGTTGTTGTTTGAATTGTTTAACATAGTGTTTGGCCTGTTTCACAATGCGTTTGGTCGTTTTAAATAGTGAAGTTTTCTTTCGGCTTTTATTTCTGTTTTTTTGAATGACGTACATTATGAGGTCTCATTTTGATTATTAATATCTTGGTTTTATCTTGATATTTATGTTTACATAAATGTACTTTGGTTTTTTCTTTTGTACAGCGCTTTGTGGTTTTTAAAATGGAAGGCGCTATATAAGTTTTTAATTATTATTATTATAATAATTATTATTATTATTATGAACATACCCAAGAAGTTTCATGACTATAGGTAAAAGGGTTTTGGAATTATAGCTAATTAATTATTCATATGCTCGAATGGTAATTTTGCTCTGTGTACACTACGTATTTGGGAACATTCAGTTTTCACGGCGCATAGCGCGGCAACCCGTTGTCCGATTTTTATGTTTTTCTTATCAAAAGATGCGCAATGCTTGAGGCTAAAAAGTCAGAACAGCTCGGGTCGCGAAAATTTTATTTTCAAAGCTATCGCGGAAAAAGTTGAGGGGGGGGGAGGATTCCGCCCCAGCCCCTTTAGGGTTAAGGAAGTGTCCGATGAGTTCCACAGCTAAGGACTCTCATGCTTGACTGTTTTGGTTACAAGTTTGGTGCGTGCAAAGCATCAATGAAATTCCCAAAACTGTCTCGTAAAATGGTGGTGAATCTCATCCTTTTTTATGAACATTGAACTGATAGATTTGGGTAAGTTAGTATTATTTAACTGATGCATGACTGTAGCTGGGAATGATAAAAATCACTGGCTTTCAATGTTTTACTTTGTTAGAAACGAGGATTACTATGTTCTTGAAGGGAGGTAGAAATAATTATACGCAAAGGCTTTTCTTTGAGTTTGATTATTCTATTTATCTAACCAATGCCACAATTGCCCATGCATGCAAGTACACTATATGATAAGTATGGTAATGCTAAGGTATTGTACAACTTCAATAAAATATTCTGTGGGAAGAATGCTTTCAGGTTACATGTAATGCCTATATATCTTGACATGATTGAACATGCTTTTTGAAAGATCTTTGTCAATATACAATTCAAGAAATTTAGTGGAGTAAGGTTTTGTAATTTCCGTATTATCAATTTGTCCTTGAACATCATGTCGAGAATGTCGGCTCTGGCTTGGATTCGAACCCGGGCCACAGAGATGATAGTCGAGGAAGAGACCCTTTAACCTATTTTACTGTCATGCTTCCTAAACCTACATATACATTCATAACATCATAGATCTGCGGAGGGTTTGAACAAAATGCACATTCAACTTGGCTATTCTTCTAAGTCAATACTAATGTACTTTTTACAACTGGTAAAAATAAACTATTAAAATGCACCCATGCAAGGTATTGATTCTACGCTGCCGAAGCAGTGACGTCACTCAGAAGTGCAACCCATACTGGTTTACACACACTGCAGCGGCCAACGTGAACACCGCTGTTTCGCTATGGCTGCATGCTGCGAGCCTAAAATTATTAAGGGATGAAATATGTGATTGGCCGGTTTTAAACGAGTCCGCCGTTTCGGAATTTGACGCTGATAATGGCCTAAGCCGAAGACGAAGGCGGCGACCAGGCCCTAAACTGGTCTTAAACGGACTTGTTCAAAACTGGCCGAGCACATAATTATTCCCATTGAAAAATACCTATTCGGTCAAAAAGTCAAAACCAGTCAAAAATTAAAAATTCCCAACGATTTTGTTCAATAATTTTAATTCATGTTTTTCGAAACACCCCTCTAGGTATGTTATGTGCCTCTCGGGAGTAGTCGTAAACAACTCCTTATATGGAGATTGGCGCGCGCATTGAGCGTACTACGCGATGTGGCCCTGAACGCAGCGGTGCCGTTGCAGTGTGAATTTAGCCACTCTCGAAATATGGACACATTTGTAGTATTGCGAATATCGTCACCGTTTTCACGAAGGGGCGAATCTCATGAAAATCATCTGTTTTTCGAAATTTGTTGGGTTTTTTTGGTGAAAATGATCAAGTATATACTAATATCTACAACCTGGTGAAACTATACTGTCAAAAAATTAATGAGATTCCCAATTAACCTAATTAACGAATGGGCGAATTTGCCACAAGTGCCGTTTTGCTTTTTCAGGAAGGGGCGAATTACCGCACTCCATGGTATTAATAAACTTTCAGTAAATAAATACCTTGTTATACAATGAAGCGTTATCACGAAGGGGCGAATTTCAGGCGCGGGCAATGAAATGTTTTCACGAAGGGGCGAATTTTAAGGCGCACGCGCAGTGGGGCAAAATCTGCGCGGACCGTTCAAAAAATAATTGACTCAGACCGCAGTAGGGCGAAATCTGCGCGTACTCACTTTAGCGTTTTCACGAAGGGGCGAATATGCTAATTGTTTGTTTTTTCGTTTTCACGAATCTCTTCTTTCCTCTGATACCTAAATCGTACATATTTACATGAATTTTTAAGTTTCAAGTTGTTAAAGGAAAAAAGAACCAACTTTAAACGCGATTATCTCGAATGTTTGTTCAGACAGTTAAATATTAAATTCGCCTCTTCGTGAAAACGGTGACGATATGTCAGAGTGTGAACGATCAAACGATAAAATGTTTAAGACCAGCCAGTCGTTTTTATTTATCAACCGTTTAAGACCGGCGACGTGACTGGCTCTCGACCAATAGGAATGGGTAAATTGTGTATTTATGACTACATATGTATTTGATTAAATTCCTCTGGAAAGCGAAATATATTGTGTGTTTTTTTCTTGCTTGGTGGCAGTCTCCTGCAAAACATTTTACCATTTTAAGGTACTTTTTTATGATAATGTTCAATAAAAGTAGCAGGTAAAATTGTTGTTTGTGGTTGTGTGATTTATGTACGTGGAATGCGTGGCTAACCCTAACAGTCCTAACAGTCTTCACACCTTATACGACATCATTGGGTGCGTTCCAGTAGCTTATCTACGAATTTAGTAAAATATAGTAAGATATTTATAACACAAATATTCCTACGGTGTTCAGTTGAATAGACAATATCTTTGAGAATTCATTGCCATGGTGTCTTCCGATTCCAATAATTATTATTGATCTGGTTGCAATGATAAAACTAATTCCATTTTACCATTGTTCCTGGTGCGTTTACACTTAAAGGTGCCGCCACCTAAGAGCCTTGACCTTAATTGTCCGAGCATGCCAAGCGAATACTAGTTTGAGTATCACACCTTTTACAAAGGAGCCCCCTCCGCTATGATATATCTAGGCAGTGCAAATTTGATGCGACCCTGCGCGCCAGCCAATTTGAGTCGACTTTAGAAATTGTGACGTCATTTCGTTCAGAAATGTGGACTAAAGGGTTAATTTCAAGGCGCCCGCAAAAGTGTAACCCTAGTTGCAATATTATGGGTCAGAGTTATTATGTTTCACAAGATACCGAGGCTATTTACTGCTGGTACCAGGGAAATTGTGAGAGCATATACTCATTGCATTATTATCATGGCCTTAATTTCCATACGCGTGTTGCTCATAATATTAAAAACAAATACACCAGTGTGTATATATTTGTACCCTTTTGTTAACATATTGATAATTTTCTGTTTTTCTTACACTGTACAAATTTGTCATTTAAATTCAATTTAATTAATTGTGTTTCATTATTTACTGCGATAAGAATTCAGAAGTTACTTCGACAAATTCTCATTCCGTTTGACATCAACATTCAGTCACAAAATAACACCTCCTCGTGTAATATTCCCCACTTTTTATACTGTTGATGTTTCCCTGCTGGATCGGGGTCGCCGATACACCTTCCTTACTACTTTCTCCTCCTCCACGTGCCAGGACCCCCTCACGAACACCCGGTGGGAAGTCTTTACCTGCACAGACATAATTCAAAATATGACAGATAGAATCATTTCTCAGAGCGTCATCATATCACTGAGTACACTAAGTAGTATCTTACACGTAATTACACTTGCACGCAGTATCCTGACTCAGGAGGTTGTCAAGCTCACAGGTAGGAAGTGATTGATTAGAACTCCCCTCTTTAATGAGTTTGGACTTGTCAAAGTGTTATATTATGAACACATGAATAATGACATTCATGGCTACATCATTCTGTCTTCGGGGTAAAAAGTCAAAGGTTAAAAAGTGAAAAAAAGGTATCTTAAGAGAACCGAGCTCGTTAACGAATCTGGATTAATCCTGAACTTATAATAAAGATTGGACTGCATAAAGACATTCTGTGTCGGGGAACTTCACAGATTCAAAAGGTGAAAAGTAACGTTCTTCAACTCACCTCTTTAACGAGTTTGGGCTCGTCCATTAACACCATGCCGGGAAGAAGTTCCAGATCCAGCTCAGACATGCTGGAATCCTGCCAGAAAATATTGTAAATGAATGGTCGATTTGTCTTAAAACTCCCTTTTAACAATTTATTTATTGCACTTATTTATTCCTCTTTTTATTTACCACATTATTTTAACCCATGAGCACAGGCTGCGGGGCTTGTTGTGTTTTGTTTTTTGAGCAGTTTGTGTTTTTAACAAGTACCAAGTAGTACAGCCCACGGCGGCCGGCTAACGTGTGAAGACGGCTATACGGCACCGTCCGTGCATCCGGGCCGTACCGGTATCTCGAGAGTACAGAAAACAAAAAAAATGAGGCGTGGTCTAATATGCAAAAGTCAAAACCGGTATTTGAATGCAAAGCTGTTATACTTGAGTTGTATGAACACAATATATGGCCGAGCAAAGTGTCCACCAATTCCCAGACCCACACACGCATAAAGCACCAACATAAGCAGGAAAAGGTATTCATTGTCTCAGTTAAATTCTCCCTTCATTAACAGGTTTTGTAACTTAAGTTGCAAGTCGTTCCATTTTGTTGTGTACACAGATTCCCGTCTTACGAAGGTAATATAGTTTACTGTATTCTCCATACGTTTACCAATAATGTTGAAATTGTTGTGAACTGTATTTTGTTCTTGTATATAAAATGTCTTGTTTTTAAAAGGCGTTACAGCCCTTTTTTAGCTTTTTTTTATTTGTCACATCTTTCAACTTGTACCTATTAATACATTTTTTTTTAATTATGAAAACCGGTTTCTCAAAACTTTAAAAAGTTTGTTTGCTCAGTTTAGACAATCAAAGCTTAAGAAATATTTTTGAACTCATTAATGAATATATAAATTCTTGTGACTCACGGGTCGCATCGAAGGGGGAGGAGTAGGTGTCGAACAGGCTAATGCTCGCAGGTTGATCTCTGGACAACCTGAAATCATTGACATAAATAAAAACAAAAACAACCCCAACATAATTCTATAAATCATAGAAATCAGGATTAATACACAATGATCTTAACTTAATGTTCAGGGGCCAATTTCGTGCATGAGCTGAGAAACACTGAGAAATGTCAAAAGAAAGTGACCGAATGTAAAAAAAAATATCAATATTAGGCTTCCTCTACTTCATAAAAAAATAGGGATAAGTACATCTTATGGACTTGTTACTGTGAAAATTTCACGCAATTTGCATACTCTATTCCCAAGTGATATTTCAATAAAACAATCACAAAACTCCGCTGTCCACCACTGATCATTTACCGTTCTACGAACTGATAAATACCGATTGAGTACAATGAAACATTCTCCCATCTCGATAAATGAACGAGAACTTTCAAAGGAAAACATACACAAATCGCCATCAAAATTTCAGGAAATAAAAGTTGACTTGTTCCTCATATACAAAAAACAAAATCTCAAAAATTAATGTTTATCTTGATTTCAATTATAATTATCTCATTTTGTATTTGAATGCCCATGTGTAATCTGTAATGCTCACTCAGCTCAATAGCTTCCAATGGCATTCCATGGACTGCTATACAAATGTGTTCTGTTAGTAAAACATGGATAATTTCTGATGGCATGCACTGTAAACAAAACCCGTAAAAACACTGTCCATTTCTCGTAATTTTTACGGTTTATGACCGTTATTGTTCAAACCGTCCCAAGAAAAAAAATGTGCTAAGTGAATTTCCCGTAAACCTGGTGGCCTGACATGCGCATACTGGGACTGATAATGTTTTTGCATTCGTCACCTTTCAAAACCCCTCCACTTTCAAACCCTCACACCGCCTTTTTTAAAGCTGTGATTCGTATACACACCTACATAGCAAACACCCAAGGTTCGCTACGTGTTTAGTGCAAAGCTAGTCATTGTTCTCTCAAAGCCTTAATACCATGATATTGCAGAATTATTGCGATATCAGTAAAAAGTTGTAAATGAAAATTACATAACAACTTACAGATGCAAGTAATGTTGCAACTTAAAAATAACATCACCTAAAATGATTTGAAAACCACTGAAAAAAGACAATTAGGCCTATAAGCTGTAGAACGTATGCATAACCCACTCCCAGCTACCGTAACTGGAACCTATCCCCCTGCACCCCAGCCCCGACGCCTCCCTACTTGGTATTCCATTATACGGCAAATTACCGTTAGATTTACGGGAAATTCGTGTTGAAATTACTGTCACCATCATTTTAGGAAACCCGTTACTGACCGTAATTTAACGGTGTTTTGTTGGTAACCCGTTTGACAGCGCTTTTACCGTAAAATTACGGGCAATTTTTTTTTACAGTTTCAGTTTCTGTTTCAGTAATTCATTTTTTTTTAAAGAAGAGTGGCCAAATATGCTCTTTTATAAGACATACTTCATTGGTGTATCAAATTTGATTGCTTTTTAAGAAAAAAAGGATATTTGTTGCGGGTCACTTTGTTTTTGACTCACCCTGTAGATAGAACCGGGCTCTGCTTGTTAATTGTTTGATTGTATTTTTCACTTTTGAGTTAGGATTCAAATTGCTTAGCACAGAAACATAGCACAGGCGTGTCGTAGAATGGTTAGGATTGATTCTCGGCTTTTTTATGCTCAGCCTATGAAATTGCTAAGCACTTGTTTTCTGCTGAACAGCTACATGAATTTGACACCAATGTGTTCATTACATTTATCTTAAAAAATGCCCACGTAGACTTGTTGCATATCTCTCGCAATTAGAAATACCTTCGAAGCCGTCATTGTCAGCGGACACGATGGGGGAGTCTGGGCGGTGATTGGACGCCCCATGCCACGGGATCACGGGGGTGAAGTCAACGTCGATGTACGATGCTCCACGGTCCTTGGGGATTCCCTCTGATGAATCCTGTTGCAAACAATTTATATCTTCTTCATTTTTTACTTTTTAACTTTACGTTAGGGGTAGGATTAGGGTTGGGGTTGGGGTTGGGGTTAGCGTTAGGAAAATATAGCGCTGACATTAATCGCTGAATTGCCGGTGAGCTCGCTCTTGCATGGAATAATGATTTTGGAGCAAAAGTGAAGCTCACTTGAAAAAAATAAAATAGTGACTCTTTGTTATTGTTTCTATGTAGATTTCCAAGCTCCAGATTGAATGCAAAAATCCTATTGGGTTGGCGTACTTTGTGCTTCGATCCTGGGGATGAGGAGGGGGGAGGGCCACATCCCTCAATAACTGTTTTGGCAGGGAAAGCTAATGGCTTATTTATGCCAGTGTGTATAGATTTTAATATAATGTACCAAATTTTGGACTGTATTCTTCTCCAAATAGCTGTAAGATATTGGTTATCTTGAAGCTGCTGATCCCCCGTGTCCCAGACATGTTGACGAAAATGGAATCATACAGTGCCATAGAAAAGGCCCAAAGTCTATACAATCATGGATCTTCTAATCATCCCCATCCAAAGGCGTATAGGCGAGTAGAGCACACGCAATATATGGGCAGGTGGACTAAACAAATCATCAGTCAGATTTGACTAAAAACAAGTTAAATTTGACTAGCTATTCAGGGTCAGCTGGTTGCAACTGAAAATCAGTCAAAGCTGACTAGATGTTCCCAGTCAGTATAGAACAATGGTCTCGCAAATAACTAAAATTGGAGTCAAATCCAACTAGTATGAATCTTTGAATGCTTAACTAAATTCCAGGTCAATTTTCAATAACAAGGAACACCAGTCAATATTTTGTCTAAGTTGTTGTTAGAGATACTCATTCGTTTTTTGGTAGGTTATAATATTGTATTTGTGACATTAAACTGTCGGTGGATTCAAAGGAAGAAAAAAGCAATTAGAGTAAACACTAATGACTTTGCTTTAATACATTTACCTTTTGTGCAGACACTGATAGGTTGTCAGTGCGTTTCTTGTTCTGACCAACCCGAAGGGCAAGAGCTTTGCGAACCTAATTGCAAACAAATTAATACATCGAAGTAATACTACAAATAATGATATTCACTTATATTAATCTTTGAATATTGTATTCAAAAGTCAGTCTATAGTGAATGTAACGAGGACAGAAATCAATCCTAGAATGTAATATTATATGGTAAACTTTAATTGATTTTGTACAATGGTCATCAAAAAGCAAAAATGAATAAAACAAATTATAAATGCCTCGTATAAAAATGATAATTTTGTGTTCACCTTGGAGTCCGTAAAGCAGGATAGAGACAACACGCATGGTCCGAGAAGTGAGTTGACAACAACGAAGAGCCATTCGTTTGCTGTTACTTTACCAGTGGGCGTAGCCAATGATGATGGCATCAAGACCACCGCTGCCACTGCCAGAACAGCCGTCAGTGCAAATCTTTGAAGATCATTTCTTTTGGGGTAGGGGAAGGAAAGAAAGCTCGAAATTTTATATATAGCTTAAAAAGTATTCACACGCTGATTGCGAAATTTATTATTTGTCTAGAATGAAACAAACAAAACAAAACAGAAAAATTGGTTGTACATGTACTTACTCTATTTCGCTGGCGTTCTGCGCAGGCATTCCACTCATTAGTGCAAACGTAGCAGCAATGATGACGAGGCAGAAAGCCAGCTAATACGAACATTGAGGGATAAACAAGGAGAAGAGTTGAACATAATTCAGATTGTAATGAGTAGCATGTAACTTTTTCTTTAAATTACTATTAAATTAAAATTGACAGTTCGGACAAGGTTTTTTTTTTTTTTTTTTTTTACTTAATACTGCCTTCTAAAAATGTAATTCCTTTGCTGCTGAGCACAAACACACTCAAACCAACATTTACAACAGTTCGGCCTACAGCTAAATACAGAGTAACCAAGAAAATGCCACAAAAAAAAATGTTCCAATACTCACGCTCGAGACTATAATTGCCGGCAACAGAAACACCCATAAAAGAGCCTTAAAGTCGGCCAGACATCTGTATATTTAAAAGAATACAGCACTTCAACAATTTCTGATAAGAAGACCTATATTTCACTAATAGATGTATTTTTCAAAATATTAGGAGGCACCAATTAACGATAATGATTGATACCACGAAAGAAAGTGTAGCCGCACATAAATTACCCAAACTCGGACGTGTACTGAGACACTGAGGTAGCGCCTGAAATGAAAACAACGACTGAGGGGACGCCTAGTCCAATCAAAAAGCCGATACGTCGCCTTGGAAGTGACTCCGTGGCGCCATGTAACGGCTTGTGTGATTGGCGGAGGAGTAAGGAACCTCGAACAAACATCCATGCGGAAATCGACAGGTAGGAAAAGTGCAAGACGATGGCATTTGCTTTGCAGAAAATCTGATGAATAAAAGACAGGGGAAAAATGTACCGAGAAGGCTGGGTTATGGTAATCAGATATTTAAGGACCGGAAGAAAAGAAACAAAACTTCTTAGCAAAATTATCATTCCCACAAACAAACCATGGAGGTAGCCCAAAACTCATGTTTAACCACTCTCTCCCCCCCCCAAAAAAATTAAGTTTAAAACTTACTTCACTCTCAATTTCCTGCACTGACAGTAAAAGACACATATCAGTCGCTGCTATGGTAACGAGAACCATGGTGCGGAACAAATCCTCATCTCCCTTCCATAAGCATCTAAACAGACCAATAAAATCCAAAGTAAAAAAAAATCGAAAAGAAACAAAAATCAATAAAGCTAGAAACCATGAAGTATAAACACTGCTCTTCAATCGTTTGTCCGAGGCATTTCAACAGATAGAGACGGTCAACCGCTCTCTATTTTGTACGTTTTGTACTCGGATATGAGTTACGGAACTTGCTATGAGATAGTAACCACGTGCTACAAGTGATGATAACGGGTTTCCCGTTCCCTATTTTCATGTCTGTCAATAGAGAGGGGGCTATTGAGTTTAAAAAATATTGTTACCGTGCATATCCAAGGATGGCCACGGCGATGGTAATGGCAATGAAGGACACGACACAGCTGATTGAAATGGACCATCTGAAAATCCCAGAAATACCGATTTTCCACACCTTAAAAGAAATAGAAAAAGAAAGAATGAATAACTAGGATGTTACTCCAATTGCCACATTTTAAGAGAGAAATCAGACTTGCCTTGATGAAGACAGTGACGTCATCCACGTGATTACAATCACATGACCTAGTTCTGCCATCGATGTGCAAGATCTTGCATCCATTCAGTTTGTCAGTTGCAAGACTGAAAAAACCCAATAAACCTAAATCATAATTATTATCATCATCACTGTCAGTATAGCTATACTTCCATGCATCATCATTCGCTCGTACACCTGCCCTGCAAACAGTACTGGGAAGGGCTGATCTCTTTGAGCTCTCATTGGATAGATGTGCGTGACCTGTGACGAAGATGCAGCGCACAAACTCGCTACAGCTGTTTATCATACTAGCGCGCTAGCTACATACAAAGGTCATGATAAGTTACCCATGATGCCGTGCGTACTTCCTTCACAAGATTCGGTCATCTGCCCTTCCCAGCGCCCTGTTTGCAGGGCGAGAGGTACTAGCGAACACACAATCAATGCACGGATATTCCATGCGCACGCACCTCACGCACGCGGAAATGATGACCAGTGGTCACTCATTAGGCAAATGAAATCGATGAAATAAAACATCATCTACTATATAACAGGCGGTAGATTCCAGCAAAGTTACATGGGTTAGGTCACATACCGTCTGTCCAGGTTGCTTCGGGCTTTACATTTGGTTGTCGATGATACGGACACGATGGTGACATTACCGCCCTCCCTTATAATAACCTCCTAAATCATAGACACAAAAAATGAAAAGAAGAGTAGAAAAACAGAAGTAGGCCTATAATGAGTTAGAGTATTATCGTAACAGAACCCTCAAAACATCTATAGTGCGTGCTTATTTGCTGAACCAGCGATGTAGTTAGTAAAATTGATTGGGTCGACGATTTTGAGAAGACCTGAAAACGTTTCCCCAAAATGTCTTGCTCCAGACGTTTCAAGAGAATGATGGGATACCAAAATCTCTTTTTAGAATGTGTTGGTCTTTGTCTCGCTGTGTGTGCTTCATTGCGAATTTGTATAAATAAAGGTTCATCACGAAATACATTTACCCATGGGTTGTCACTCGCACAATTTTGCCTTTAAAATGTGACATATGAAAAGTGCAACTAAATAGGTTTTGGTTTTCGGTGGCGTTGGGATTCATGGACGGGCGTCTTGTTGGAGGATGGGTCGCGGTTTAGGAAATATTCAACAAGGACCTTTAATGCAATTGCACCTGGCAGCATAAATAGGAATGTCCATACCTCTGTGTGGGATAAGATGAGTTCTCTGCTCGATGTCAGGTCTGTCTCAGACAAGGGCACTGAGTATTGAAGGGTGAAATCCTTGCCACGGACATTTAAAGCTTTAAAGGCACTGTAATTACAATAATACACACATTGGAAGTTTTAGTTCGCTACGCTAACGGACTATTTGGCTGAATGCGCGTCCATATCCTGCTTCTCACAAGTCAAATTCGATAAGCCTCTCTACTGATGACGTCACACTTTGTTTTGCTTGTGCGCTTTTCTATGGGGCTACGAAACCGTCGTCCCCACCAGGCTCCCGTAAGAAAGCACACATGTTAACAAAGTTTGACGTCATCAGGGCCAAATTTCTCGGTGCCGCTAAGCAAAAAACAATGCTTAGCACAAAAAAACCTGGCTTATAAAATCAGTTTACCAGCCAAAACTTCACGTGATTTTCATGCTAAAGCAAACAACAGCTGAATACTAATCACGAGCAATATACATTACGAGTTTTGGCTGGTAACCTGCTGTTATAAGGCAGACTTTTTTGTGCTAAGCAAATGTTTGTGCTTAGCAGCGCCGTGAAATCGGCCCCATTGCAGAGTCTTATTCTGGTATATTGCTGGACAAAATCACGAAAATGTAAGAAACACTTATCGCCCTCTAGCGGTGACCTCGGATGCCAAAGGTTGTTTAATTGTATGAACATTGATCCAAAGGATGCTTGTAACAATTTTGAAACCCTTATAATCGAACAAAAATGTAGAGAGAATGCCAAGCATTGTGTTTTTGACCAAAATGAAATTTTTTTTTATAGAAAAGAGCCTTCTTGTGGTCACCTCAGCGCAACTAAATGACGTCATAATTATAGACTATACCAACCAACCAAGTTCCTGCCAAATTATAGGAAATCGGCGTCGCATATGGATATAAGGATGGAAGGGGGGGGGGGGGGCAAATGTGCCCCTGGTCCTGACAAGATACTAAAAGCCCGGTCCTGATAGGGTAAGGTCTGATATATAGAATTCAATCCGCTCTTCTGAAATGATCTTAAGCCGAGAGAGGAAGCCGAGGTCGGAAATCCCAATCATCATCCAAAGTCTAGTATGTGAGAGCGAAGGCCTACATATCTCCCTTAAGTTCTCACTGTTTGGCTAGTGTAAAGGAATGAACAGTGGAAGTCAAGCGTACCTTGTGACGTTAATGTTTATAGCCAGTTCACTAGGAAACTCGTTGTACTCGTAATCCACCGTAGACTCAAATTCTGCAATAAAATGCAAATTAATCAGTAGAATAAGTGAGGCTGTATAATATCCAAAACTATTTTCAAATAATCTCATTCACCACAGATTTTTCAATTTTCTAGTGATTTTGTATTTCGAGATAAATTCTCATGATGAATTATGAAGGTCACTTTTATTTAAAAAAAAAAAAACATAGATGATATAATTTATTTCATATTTTGCGTAGTGACTATAGAACCAAAATTGTCATCTCAAAGTTTTGAACATAATGTAGATATCTGGGGGGTATTTTAAATACGATTTAAAGTTGTTCGCTTTAATATTCGAAAGGTAATTTTAGTTCTACTTTTGTAAGTGTAATCCATGAGTACGAGCTGCACCTGCGCTGTAGCCCAGAAAATCTGCTGATTGGCTCTCGACAAGAACAACCGGCGGGGTCATGACCTCTTGATCGAACAAAATGAACGAACTGGCGATGCCGAAAGAGTGTTCCTCTTGTTGTATTTGCTCTTCCTTATTTCTCAGAACAACATCTGTTCACACAATAAAAGAAATTATTGATTTGCGATGACTTAAATGAGTAGTTATGGGGACCGTAAGCGTAAGTGTCGATCAGGGCTCTAATTTACCTGTGTCATCCTGGTGCATGCGCATTGATGATCCCTCTGGCCACGCCCTGCCGACCGCCTTGGCAATCTGCGTGATGGTTGCCATGCAATCTAAAACAAAGTCACGTGACTGTGTACCGATGAAAAAGAGAAAATATTGGTCGACCTTACGTGTTTATTTAATCTCACATGTTCATGAACCTCAAGATGTCTTGTTTAGGAACCTCAAGATGTCTTGTTCAGGAACCTCAAGTTGGAGTTGCTGTCTGGATTGACGTCATTATCTATTCAGGGAGTCCAAAGCAGCTCTTTTATGTTACAAGTTTTAAAACTGAAAACAGAAACCAAACGGGATCTCAGCTCACTTTTCCCGGTATTAAACATTTTACTAATAACGCATAGTGCTGTCTTAATGACTCCCGTGGAGTAGTGTAATTTTTCTTCGCGCTTCATTTTTGGAAGCACCACCAGAAACTGGGTCAATTTTCAGAGGGCTATGCATTTTGTTTGCCTCATTTTCTGAAGGCGGTGGAGAAGGCACTCTATGGGTGTATAACTCTATATGTGTATAACACTTAAAGGCACTTATCAAGATAATTACCCATCGATTTAAAGAGAGAGACCTCGAGCAAAGTGAAGATAGGGCTGGTCGATGTAAAATATTCCGACAGAAATGGTTTCGAACAAAAGAACAATAATTATAGGGTGGATCTTACAAAAGTGTGCCTTGGGGGTACACTTTCTTTTACGTGCGTTGGCAATTGAATCCTTTTACGAGACCATAATAAAATAATTGGGAACAGGGTCACGGTCCTCAACTAGGAAATCGTCCCCTCCGCTTCCAATTAAGAATACTTTCAATAAATATAGAACTCACCGTTTCCATAGCAATAGGATTTGAAGATGTCTTCCGAAGCACATCAACAAGTAACTGTTCAAAAAAATAAATGAAAAATTGAATGGCAATATATAGACACTTATACCAATACCAGAAGATCAAAATAAGCATCTTTAACATTCTGGGGTGCAGCGGCGTAGCTAGCATTCCCATCTATAGGAGGGGGGGGGGGGTATGTTACAATGGGGGTAGACTAGTGGGGGAAACTATTTTTTTGTAGCCACCGTACTAAAAGGTAGACAGGTCGGGTCACCCGGCCTCCGCAAAATCACGTGACGGTGGTGGTTTTTGATGCCCCCCCTCCCCTACGCCGCTATGAGGGAGGGCTGAGGCGAAATCTCCCCCTTAAAAGAAATAGTGCAAGATAGATTATATTGAAATTTACTACGCATAGAGGGTGTTCTATGCCGTGAGGGCGCTATCCATTTTGGATGGGCTTTTATGTTGAATATTTTAGAATACAATTGTCTTCCGTTAGCTGCTTAATTTAAATGTCTGTGATATCTACATTTTATTTTAATTGGGATCTAAAAACGAAACGTTTTTACATCTCGGTTTTTTTCCGACTCCGAATGGCTGTGTAAACTTGAGCGGCCTAATCGGTCAAAAATATCTGTGTGAATTACAACCAGTTTTGCGTGCCAATTTATAAGTTGGCTTACGAGAGGGTACTTGATATACAATAGTTTACAAGAAGAATTCATCCAATAAAGGAGTTTCACCTTGGCATATTCCTCCAGGAGGGCAGGGTCTGAACCACTGAAGTCGAAGTCCAGCAATGTCCCCAGTAGCTCGAGCAGTTCGGCCGATTCCTTCGCCGTGCCTGCCCGCGACTCTAGCGCCGACAGCACGCTGGACAACACCTCGCCTGGTCTTGTGACGTTGGCGCGGGAAGTTCTCGTTGTTATGGAGAAAAACACTATTAGACACAGCGCAGAGTACGTCTACGCAAGGAGATGTTATAAGGAAAATTTATACGAACTGATGAGACAGTATAGTATAAACCTTTCCTTCTTTTCTTGATTAGTCATTAACTTACACGGAGCCGCCCCTTAATTCTACACATACCTGACCGTTGCTGGGATTTTTTTCCCCTACCACCATGTAATATTTGAGCCACCCTGCCGTCAAATCCCAACTAACCACAGTCATTTATTCATGGTAACCTTCACACCCTAAATAGCCATTAAAACCACGGAATTGCCCGTGAAGATCAAGACTGGTCCATTTTGTCAGCAGGGGCGATCCATGGCAGTCCATATGTGAACAGGCCTATGTAAAATGTTCACAAGCCCAGTAGGTTTCCCGCCAATTTTGTACAAGCCACTAGGGCCTGACAAGACTAGTGACACCCCTTCTGGTGGATGTACCATGGTAGAAACTAGAATCTACAGTGCGTTCGATTGCTTCCGCACGCGCGTACTCGTGCAAGCGCGACAGCGTTCGATTTACCTCTCACGTGACTTCTCGCGCTTACTCGAGCCTGGCCCTAGTGACCGACTCGCCGAACCGGTTACTTGGGTAAGTATCCCATAAGGACATGCAACGTCCGTCGGGCGCCTCAGGCCGTGTCCGAAACGGGCTTCTACGTAGCATACAAACTCTATGTAGCTCTATGCACGGAGCTACGGCTACGAATTATTGTCAGCGCGTCCCCGCGTACTTTCACTGGGCATGGACGTGCTCTAGACACTGATTCGGATGCAGCCTGGGAAACATGTTGCAACCAGAGCGCACAACAGCGCCCTCTTGTGATTTACTGTTATAATTGTCCAATCCCTTATCGAATCACGTTGCTTACCGTTAATTCTTGCTCCGTAAAATCCTTGTTTATGACTCCTAATCATCATTTGCCTTAATTCAAATTACCAGGTTCACTATAAAAAAAAACCCTGTGCGTGAATTACAGAAATTTCGGTTGATTAAGATATGATATTTAGTGGGATTTACTCCATGTTTATTGTCCATTTTGCAATTTACGCTGTACTATGGGTATTACACGTCATGCCATACGCGTGCTTATAATATACACATGTTTGTGGGCACTTTACTGGGGATATTGAGGGTTTCATAGTATTTAGGGTCTTTCCATGAATCTATGTGCTATTGTACCAATGTTTGGGGTTGTTAATAAGTATTTTGAGCCCTTTGCCTCCATATTTGTGGTCATGTTAAACAGGTTGTGTACATGTTATTGCCAGGCTAATCATGGGCACACATAAGTTTACATGTATATTGTCAATGTTCATTATATGATTATATGGTTTCCCAGGCCTGTGCACATAGTAATTAAGTTCCCCTTTGTGTTTATTCTTCCTGTAGGACCACACAGCACACGCACACCCACACACACACCCACACTTGTTTCACATGACTAGTGTGGACTTTCCATTGCTTTCGTGTAGTTAAGAAAAACCAGTGAAAAAACTCATTTTTCTCAAACTGTGAAAACTCTTTCAACCCAATTTTTTTTCTATGATTCCCTTTAGTGTTTCTCTTCATTCTGCTACAGATAAACCTAACCCAAAAATGACTCTAAACCTGTTTTCCAGAAATGGGGAAACACTATACACTATAGTGGGCATTAGACCTCGTTTTCTGGAGGAGGATCATGATCCTCATCGAGGATCATATCGGTAACCCCGACGAGGATCATAAAACGAGGCGTGTCTGTGGCGTAGTGACGTCATGGATAGATGGACAAATCGATCGTGAGGATTAGCGCCGAATGCGTATATAGAGTTCGAAGATAATCCTACATGTATAACAAATAAGGAACGCCCTATGATTGCTAACTATTGAGACGCGGTGTGTGAATGTAGACGAAAGAGCATTACCCAATTCCGGTTGAAGGTGAAATTTAAAAGATACAGTTTTCGACATGCTTTCTTGAATCGAATGTTATTTTTATATATATAAATGTGTACGTATTCATTAAATATATATTTTGTCGCAAAACAAAACAAACGCAGGGTATTAGAAAAACAAGAAATAACATTGAAGTAACCCACAAGACGTACAAGACGCTTCAACACAAACCGTAACTAAATATCACAACATGGAAAAGTACACACTGAACAAACACGGCCACGTTAACACCAAAGCTGAAATCATAAAGTCCGAATCTAAAATCCTAACTTAACAATCATCCAACTGCAAAAACAAAAGGACTGAAAAAATATATATATATCTTAAAAGCCACTGCATAAAAATTATATCCTTAAACAATAAAAATACACAACTCTTAATAAAAGACGACTCGGGATGCCTAAAACCAACCGGAACTCACCAGAACATTCCCTGAGTGGTCAACGGGCGATATACAGTTTTCAGGAATTTTATTCATAACCACAGCAAACATACAATATTAAATTAAAAGCAAGCTAAACTTAAAATGATTGAGCAACACAAGTTCCAGTTAACTTATTGTAATAAAAGACAGGTAGCCTAAATGTATACACTTCTGACAGCACTTCAAATTAGACGTTTCGTAATTATTGAGCGTTTTAAAAAAGTTTATCTTGAAAAATGGGACGCTTATACAATACTCATAGCTCGTTAACAGGTCAATGAAATTTTGGGAAAAAACCAACTGCACATATAAAGTGCATTCATTCACCTTGCCGATGCACACCAAACGTTTACCTAACGTTGAAATGGTTCACACCGCTCATCGTGTTTTCATGGAGATACATGTACATGTATTTAAAAACACCGCGAATTCGGACTTGACGACCGGACAAGTCTGGACTGGTCATTCTGTTTGCCGTCCATCGATGACTCATCACTGTGACGTCATAGGGATTCCCCATCCAAATACAAAGGCCATTGTGATACTATAGCTCGGACCCGTTTTGTGGGTGAATGATGCGCGAATACGACGGCAATCGGCAACTTAAATTTGACGGTATTTCTTCGTCCCCATATTTGCTAAGGTCCTAACTTACTAGGAAGACCTTTAAGAACCAAGGTAGCCTATTTTGTATTTTTAAGTAATGTAATGAACAATCAACAGAGTACGATTCATTCGCAAGAGTTGATGAGCAAATACGCGTTTAGTTCGTGCTGGTTGTCACAGCCTCCGCAAAATAACAAGCGTTTGAGTTTCCCAAAATTTCATTGACCTGTTAACGAGCTATGAGTATTGTATAAGCGTCCCATTTTTCAAGATAAACTTTTTTAAAACGCTCAATAATTACGAAACGTCTAATTTGAAGTGCTGTCAGAAGTGTATACATTTAGGCTACCTGTCTTTTATTACAATAAGTTAACTGGAACTTGTGTTGCTCAATCATTTTAAGTTTAGCTTGCTTTTAATTTAATATTGTATGTTTGCTGTGGTTATGAATAAAATTCCTGAAAACTGTATATCGCCCGTTGACCACTCAGGGAATGTTCTGGTGAGTTCCGGTTGGTTTTAGGCATCCCGAGTCGTCTTTTATTAAGAGTTGTGTATTTTTATTGTTTAAGGATATAATTTTTATGCAGTGGCTTTTAAGATATATATATATTTTTTTCAGTCCTTTTGTTTTTGCAGTTGGATGATTGTTAAGTTAGGATTTTAGATTCGGACTTTATGATTTCAGCTTTGGTGTTAACGTGGCCGTGTTTGTTCAGGGTGTACTTTTCCATGTTGTGATATTTAGTTACGGTTTGTGTTGAAGCGTCTTGTACGTCTTGTGGGTTACTTCAATGTTATTTCTTGTTTTTCTAATACCCTGCGTTTGTTTTGTTTTGCGACAAAATATATATTTAATGAATACGTACACATTTATATATATAAAAATAACATTCGATTCAAGAAAGCATGTCGAAAACTGTATCTTTTAAATTTCACCTTCAACCGGAATTGGGTAATGCTCTTTCGTCTACATTCACACACCGCGTCTCAATAGTTAGCAATCATAGGGCGTTCCTTATTTGTTATACATGTAGGATTATCTTCGAACTCTATATACGCATTCGGCGCTAATCCTCACGATCGATTTGTCCATCTATCCATGACGTCACTACGCCACAGACACGCCTCGTTTTATGATCCTCGTCGGGGTTACCGATATGATCCTCGATGAGGATCATGATCCTCCTCCAGAAAACGAGGTCAAATGCCCACTATACACTACTGACGTGGGCAAGTCCACACAACGTCGGTGCTACCTACATTATGTGGACGTCTTTTGTTCGGAAGTCCACACTGCGTATGTAAGACAAGCTCACCCACCCACACACACACACACCCAGACTTACGTTACATACCTTGTGTGGACATTGCTTTGTTTTCGTGTAGTTAAGAAAACTCGGTACAAAAAATAACTTTACTTAAACTGTGAAAACTCTTTTAACCCAATTTTTTTTCTATGATTCCCTATAGTGTTTCTCTTCATTCTGCTACGGATAAACCTAACCCAAAAATGCCTCTAAACCTGTTTTCCAGAAAGGGCAAAACCTTATGTGGACACGGCTTAGTCCACATAAGGTTAACACAACCTACATTATGTGGACCTCTTTTGTTCACAAGTCCACATAGGGTATGTAACACAAACTCACCTTCCTACCAGTGCCACACTACCCATAACCAAGGTCAATAATTAAACCTGTTACCAGCCCATCACCAGTTTGGGTCACCTACTTCTTTTCACATTGTTGTCAACTGTCATCCATGCGCAAATCTGCAATCATCATTTTCAAAAATAAGTAATCATACTGCGCACGCGTAGAGGTGATCCAATCAATGGCCTTAAATGTGGACTAGCTACCGGTCCTATGGGGACGGGGACCAGTCTAGGAAGCGTGTTGTTAAAACTGTGCAGCGCCACCACGCGTTTGTTTGCAAACAACACTGACAGAACAGTGTTCATAAAATTATGTCGGTGAATTGCAAAACCCAATATTGAAGTTGGGTATAGAAGCAAAGGTTAAGTTTATATTTAGTGTGAACAATTATTAG